AGAGAGAGAGAGAGAGAGAGAGAGAGAGAGAGAGAGAGAGAGAGCCCAGAGGAGGGAGGACTAAGATAGAAAAAAGGAATAGGGGGCTGCACAGGCTAGAGAAATCCCACCTAAGTGGCCGACCCCCGGAGCGCCGGCCGTCCCGGGAAGTCTGGATGCACTTCCGTCGGGAGGAGTGGGTTGGGGCGCTGCAGGGCACCCTCCCCTCAAGCGGCCCAGGTGCAGGCTACCTGGCCCACGCCAACCTTCCCTTCCGCCCCAGCTTTTGTTGCGCCCTCCCCACGTGTGGGCCGCCTCAAGGCCGGGGCATCGCGGCGGGCTGGGCGAACCTAGGTGGAGAGGTCATACTTCTTTCGGAAAGAAAAAAAAAAAAATCCCACCCAAGTGGGCTACCAAGGTGAACGCAGAACGGTTCCCACCTTAAAATCAGCCCCAGTCGTGACGTCAGGTCGGAAATATACCAAAGCGAGCGCGGGCCAGGAGTCCGGGGAGCGCGGCGCCGGCGATTGGGCGGCCGGCCGCTGACGCGCGCTGACGCGCGGAGACTTTAGGTGCATGTTGGCAGCGGCGGCGCGAGCCACATAAACAAAGGCACATTGGCGGCCAGGGCCAGTCAGCCCGGCGGCTCTGCTTCGCTCCGCGTTCCTGTCGGCTGCGCAGCTGGCCTGCCTCTCCCCGCGCCGGGCGGGTGGCTTCCGCGCCGGGTTCCCGCAGCTCTCCGGCAGACCCGGGCGTCCTGGACCCCACGCCGAGTCGCACTGGGGCAGAGTTGAATGAATGAAGAGAGCCAGCGAGAAAAGTAAGTGCGGCCGTGCAGCTAGCCGGCTCCCACTCCACATCCGCGCGTCTGTTCTCCCCACTAACCTGGAACAGGTTCTTGGAAAGTAGCGCCAGGCCCGTAGGGCGCACAGAGCCGGGGACCGGGAGTGGGCGCGCAGGGCTCCGAGGAGCCTTCGGGGCAAACTCCGGCTGTGGCGTTGAGGGGGGCGGGGGGGGAGTTGGCTCCAGGCAGAGGCTTCCAGGCTCCTCATTGGTGGATGTGGAAGGGACACACCACAGTTAGGGGAGCTACGGACGTCCCCACGGAAATGTGCGTAAAGTTTGGTCTTAGTGTGGAATTGATTGTGGCTTGTGGAGGCTCCTGATCCTGTGTGCAAGAGGGAAGCTGCCCTCAAACTGACAGGGAGAGAAAGTTTTTCAGTTTATGCGTTGCTTGGGAACTGTGTCACTCAGCTCGACAGCCTGCCGATGTTTCCCTGGTATTGTGAGAACGGTGTTGTTGGTAGAGCGTCCTGTTACTAAGTCGTGTGAGATTTCTGGTTTTGACATATGCTGTCCTTGAGTAGTGTGTGAGAGTGTGTGTGATGGGGTGGGGGAAGATGTATAAAGAGTACAGTTATGAAATTGTGACGCTGCTAGGGGGTTAATACACAGCACAGACATATCTCCAAGGGCTGGGGGAGGGGGCAATACTCTTGATTATTTTTTTTCTGGTTAACTTTCTCCAACCCTCGAAGCAACATTATGGAGGAAAGGAGACTCAGCAGAAGGAGTGGACGTTTGGGTTCCTTTTATCATTATTAACAAGATTGTGTACGCTGTAGAAAGCCTTCCTTCAAAGTGGGAACATCTGAAAATTCCTAGGGCACAAGAATGCCTTGTTCCAGCAAGGAGGCAGATTGTGGAAGGCTTTATGGAGAAGGTGTTTAGCTTGCTGTGCTGAGAAGTGCTTCTAACTTTGATGCCAGTATCATATAAACAGCATTTCCTTACATCCTGCTAAAGTACAGGACCCTCTCATCACCCCTGGGCCATTAAAGATGTTGAAAACCAAGTTTGCTAGAGAGACACCAATTCACTTGTATCCCCCAACCCCAGTTCTGGGTCAAAAGCATTAGAAAGCTACACACTTCCACCCAAATTGTCTTCTTGGTAAAGCCAGGCCTTGCTAACATTTTGTGAGGGTGGGATATTGTTTTTTCAGTGTATATTCTTGAGTTGTACTAACATTCTCCCCCTTCCATTTGACCACAGGAAACATACTTAAGAGAAGGTTCTGGTTCTGTGCCTTCTCTTCAGTTTTAATCTCTCTCATTCAGATCTGAAATAAAATAGAATATAAATGATCTTTCCATAGTTACTTTAGCAAAGGGCCCAGTTCATTATTTTGCTAAGTATCAAGTAAGTTCTGGGAAGACCTCTCCTTCCAGATGCTTTCCCTGCAGGGATTCACACTGGGCAATGGGATGTTATTATCTGTTGGTTATGTCTTTTACTCACTCCTTTAAGCTACTGTTTGGTAAACTCTACACACCACTTTCCAAGGAGGTACAGCAGGGCCTGCCTGGTGAGTCTACATATGCCCACCAAATCCCTGTCGGGAATAAATCCTGAAACTTCCTGTGTCTGTGTTTCAGGGAGGAGATATATAACGGGCTGGACTCTCCATTGCTTTTTTAAAAGAAAATCTTGGAAACTTTGTCCTTCGCTGAGTTAAGACACTGTCCACCTTTAATTTCCTCGAAAACTCCAATAACTCGGCTGAAGGTTAGTGAACTTTATTTCTTTCATTACCTTTCCCGAGTTCCCTACACATCCAGAAAAAGAAGGCAACAAGATTTTCTCAGGCCAACCCTGTACCTTAAGGTCACAGAGAACAACTTTCTCATTTTGCCATTCAACTTCATTTCTAGATTGTCAAGATCCTCGTCTCTAGAAAGCTTGCCGACCCGAGCTTCAGAGAAGAAGCTCTTCGGAGAGGAATTGGCTGTGGGTGGGAAAGGGGGCGGAGGGGGGAGCCGTTTGACAGTATCCGGGAGTGCAGACCCTCGGTAGCTTTCCAGCTTCAGGTCATTTTGCATCGTACTTTACTGCGCGGCTGCTTTCGACCTCGCTCCCCTTCCTCTCGCGCCCCTACCCTCCCTCTGACCGCCGCGGGCTGCCGGTGTAGCCCCAGGTGTACCCGAATCCGGGAGAAAGTGTTGAGTTGACCAGGCTGAGTGTGTATCACCCTGTTTCATTTCCAGCCATGCCTTGCGTTCAGGCGCAGTATGGGTCCTCGCCTCAAGGAGCCAGCCCCGCTTCTCAGAGCTACAGTTACCACTCTTCGGGAGAATACAGCTCCGATTTCTTAACTCCAGAGTTTGTCAAGTTTAGCATGGACCTCACCAACACTGAAATCACTGCCACCACTTCTCTCCCCAGCTTCAGTACCTTTATGGACAACTACAGCACAGGCTACGACGTCAAGCCACCTTGCTTGTACCAAATGCCCCTGTCCGGACAGCAGTCCTCCATTAAGGTAGAAGACATTCAGATGCACAACTACCAGCAACACAGCCACCTGCCCCCCCAGTCTGAGGAGATGATGCCGCACTCCGGGTCGGTTTACTACAAGCCCTCCTCGCCCCCGACACCCAGCACCCCGGGCTTCCAGGTGCAGCACAGCCCGATGTGGGACGACCCGGGGTCTCTCCACAACTTCCACCAGAACTACGTGGCCACTACGCACATGATCGAGCAGAGGAAGACGCCGGTCTCCCGCCTCTCGCTCTTCTCCTTTAAGCAGTCACCCCCTGGCACTCCAGTGTCTAGCTGCCAGATGCGATTCGACGGCCCTCTGCACGTCCCCATGAACCCGGAACCCGCGGGCAGCCACCATGTAGTGGATGGGCAAACCTTCGCCGTGCCCAACCCCATTCGTAAGCCCGCATCCATGGGCTTCCCGGGCCTGCAGATCGGCCATGCGTCACAGCTGCTTGACACGCAGGTGCCCTCGCCGCCGTCCCGGGGCTCCCCCTCCAACGAGGGTCTGTGCGCCGTGTGCGGCGACAACGCGGCCTGCCAGCACTACGGTGTCCGCACTTGTGAGGGTTGCAAAGGTTTCTTTAAGGTGAGCAAGGGCAGGAACTGAGGTGACAGGTTAGCGGCGCCCTAGTGCCTGGGACCTGGGAGCCTGCCTTCACCTTTCTATAGACAGCCCAGCCTTAGTTCCCATCAGAGACACCAAGTCTCTGGAGACTGTGCTGCCGGTACCCACGGGCTGCGGAGGGGACTTCGGGGTGTCTGAGCAAAGAAATCAGGAAGACTGGGAGAGTCAGTGTACATTCATCCGGACCCTGTGGCCCCGGTGGGCTCCTGCCCGAAATTGCTGGAGCCTGAGTTGGAAGAGGGCTATTTGCATGTGTTAGGAGCTGTCTTCCCAGTTCAGATTGAAATTGGTTAGGACAGAGAACCGTGTCTGAGCTAACCAAGTGGAACAGAATTCCCTATGGTCAAATTAAGTGATCTCTTTATTTCGCCATCCTGATTGAATAATCTTATCATTTTAAATAGAGAAGGTCTCCAAGGAATGTAAATAATATGAATGCCCACGGATTTGTATTTACTGAGCGTCTCCTGCTCCTTCTCCTGGCATATAAAACACAGCAAGGAGCGGCAAGGTTAGCTCAAATGTTAACGCTATCAATTTTCTTCTGGTAAATGCCCTGGGGGAGGAAAAGGAAAGGAAATAGGAAGAAAAGAAAAAGAAAAAAAATGCCAGAGGAATTGTGTTTGTTTGTAGGGAGGAATGTATATCCAAGCCATTCAGAAATTGTGTCCAGTTTGCTGGACTTTCAATTAAAAGATAATAATTTTTTGGCCTACATTGTCTCCTTTTGCAGCGCACAGTGCAAAAAAACGCGAAATACGTGTGTTTAGCAAATAAAAACTGCCCAGTGGACAAGCGGCGCCGAAATCGTTGTCAATACTGCCGATTTCAGAAGTGTTTGGCTGTTGGGATGGTTAAAGAAGGTAGGTCCAGCAAACTGCTGACCTCTCATTCCCCGCCCTCGAAAAACCGCCAGCTACTTGTACCCTAGTCCCAAGATGGGATGGGAGGGTCCCAGGGAGCCCCCCCCATACCGGGGCTCCAGGTTCCCACAGCTGTCGGGATGACCCAGCCTCCCTTAGAGAAAGCCACCGGGCCCTTCTCGCCTTTAATCGTATGAAGTCTTTACAAGCAGAGGGGCCCTGGGCTACTAGGCCAGGCGCCCAGGGCTGCCTCCGGGAAGCAGCACAGGCGGCAGCTGGATCTGGGCTCTGGGAGCAGCGTTAACCCAGCTATTCCTTTGCAGTGGTTCGCACGGACAGTTTAAAAGGCCGGAGAGGTCGTTTACCCTCGAAACCGAAGAGCCCACAGGATCCCTCTCCCCCCTCACCTCCGGTGAGTCTGATCAGTGCCCTCGTCAGAGCCCATGTCGACTCCAACCCGGCTATGACCAGCCTGGACTATTCCAGGGTAAGAAGTTGGTGGGGGTATCATGTGGACAAACCGGCAGATGGGCATGACCCCTCCTCATACCCAGCACCGGCCCCCAAGACCCTAGGGTAAAGGAGGCCAGCCTGGCTTTATGCCTCACAGCTCTGGGTAGGGTTCAAGAGACTGAGAGGTGGTGTAGCTGAATGGTGGAGTCTCCATGAACCTCTCTTGCCTTAGACCACCCCACCATCATATATAACAAAGCCTGAGAGGCAAAACCCAGAGGCAGTACATCTTCCCTCTCCCACATCTGCTTTAACCATAGTTACTGGAATCCTTCTTTCTGCCACTGGCTGGCTGAAGTATGGGACTTGCCTGGGGCCAGGGAATGAAAAGAGGGGTGTAAGAAATGGCAGTGGGGGTCTAGAGGTCAAAGATCAAGTGGTGCAATTCCTCTTCTACTCCAGCTGTGAAAAATGTGCAGGCTTTAGTGGGAGGATGTATGCTGGGCAAACCCAGTAGCGAGTGTAATATTATTAAGATTTGCAAAGGGCACCTCAGCTCAAGACCCACTCTGGGACTAGCATGAATACCAACGTATCAATTGTTTTGTGGAGATAAGACTGAACATTTCCCAGGGCTGGATGGCACTGTATTTAGTCTGTATGGAAATGGTAATTTGCATATTTAAAGCAGCGACCTCATAGCACCGTCCCTAATTGAATTAATTGCCCCGGAACATCTAATTTCCTTACTGGTCAGAGAGAGGTTTAATTGTTATAAAAACCTGGCTCCCCTACCAGAAACGGGGTTAGCAATTTCACGGGTTATATATTTTAGAGAACCTCATTAAGTGCTTTTTAAAATGAAATTCCAGTTCCAGGCAAACCCTGACTATCAGATGAGTGGAGATGACACTCAACATATACAGCAGTTCTATGATCTCCTGACTGGCTCCATGGAGATCATCAGAGGCTGGGCAGAGAAGATCCCTGGCTTTGCTGACCTGCCCAAAGCTGATCAGGACCTGCTTTTTGAATCAGCTTTCCTAGAATTATTTGTCCTGCGATTAGCATACAGGTAATAAGGGAGGAGACAATTCTGGGAGGCCCAGAAAGGAATCAGAAGTAAAAGAAAGGGAGAAAAGGGGTGGAGGTGGGGAGACATGATTAAAAAAAAAAATCAAAGGTGGAGAAGGGAAAGAGTATGAGCCCAGAAGCTTTAGGTGAATGTAGTGGAGGTGGGATAGGGGGCGTTCCTGATTGTTATGAAATTAAACCTTTTCAAGGTCCACTGGTCTACATTTTATTAACTCTTCAGTAATTAGGTGCCTCTTAAATCCCTCATTTATTGCTCTTCAAGTAATTAGTTGTTTAGCTTTTCTCTCTCTCTTTTTCTCCCCTCTCTCTTTGGTATTAATTGCAGGTCCAACCCAGTGGAGGGTAAACTCATCTTTTGCAATGGGGTGGTCTTGCACAGGTTGCAATGCGTGCGTGGCTTTGGGGAATGGATTGATTCCATTGTTGAATTCTCCTCCAACTTGCAGAATATGAACATCGACATTTCTGCCTTCTCCTGCATTGCTGCCCTGGCTATGGTCACAGGTCAGTACTGCAGGTGTAGGGTGCTTCCCTCCAGAACTTCCCTGTGGGATTGGTCATGGCCTTCCCTAGTCATAGATCTCTCTGGTCCGGCCAGCTGCCGCTGACTAACTCTCCTGTGCATTCTTCTTTTGTTTCTGATTGTGTTTTCTGCAGAGAGACACGGCCTCAAGGAACCCAAGAGGGTGGAAGAACTACAGAACAAAATTGTAAATTGTCTTAAAGACCATGTAACTTTCAATAATGGGGGCTTGAACCGCCCTAACTACCTGTCCAAACTGTTGGGGAAGCTCCCAGAACTTCGCACCCTTTGCACACAGGGGCTCCAGCGTATTTTCTACCTGAAACTGGAAGACTTGGTACCACCGCCAGCAATAATTGACAAACTTTTCCTGGACACCTTACCTTTCTAAGATCTTCTCCCATGCATTTCAAAGGAACTGGAAAGAAAACTAAAACTGTCCAGAGGGGGCTGGCCACATGGGCAGAGAGCTCCCTGGTGTGTCTCAGCTCAAGCTGTCCCCTACCTTCTGTAACCCCAGCCCTCTGATCCCTAAAGTAAACAAACAACAAACAAACAAATAAAAACTGTCGCTATTTCCTAACCTGCAGGCAGAACCTGAAAGGGCATTTTGGCTCCGGGGCATCCTGGATTTAGAACACGGACTACACACAATACAGTGGTATAAACTTTTTATTATCAGTTACAAATCAATTTACTGTTCAGAAGAAAGATTGCTAATGTATGATGGGAAATGTTTGGCCATGCTTGCTTTTTGCATTTAAGACAAATGTAACACACACACATACACAGACACACACACACATACACACACACACACACACCTACCTTAAGGGGACCCACAAAATTTGCCCTTTAACAGGACTTCAAAGTTTTCTGCTGTAAAGAAAGCTGTAATATATAGTAAAACTAAATGTTGCGTGGGTGGCATGAGTTGAAGAAGGCAAAGGCTTGTAAATTTATCCAATGCAGTTTGGCTTTTTAAATTATTTTGTG